GACTTATATACACTTAAAGTAAAGGGATAGAAAAAGATACTCTGTGCAAATGGAAACCAAAAGCAAGCAGGAATAGCTAACTTATATCAGACAAAACAGACTTTAAATCAAAAACTGTCAAAACAGACAAAAAAATATATAATGATAAAAGGATTTTTCAACATGAGGATATAACAATTGTAAATATAGTATACATACCCAACACCCAACAGATATATAAGCAAATATTATTAGGTATAAAGGGAGAGATATCGCTAATAAAAGCTGGGGAAATTTAACACCCTGCTCTCAGATCATCTAGACAGAAAACCAAAAAGAAACATTGGATGTTAACTGTACTTTGGACCAAATAGACTTAATAGACATTCTATAGAACATTTCATTCAATAGCTGCAAATACATTGTTTTTTCATTAGCACGTGGAACATTCTCCAGGATAGACCACATGTTAGACCCCATAAACAAGTCTTAAGAAATTTTTAAAAGTGAAATTATATTCAAGTATCTTTTCTGCACAATTCTACCAAACATTTAAGAAACTAATACCAATTCTTTCCAAACTCTTCAGAAAATAGAAGAGGAGGGATTCTTTCAAACTCATTATTCAAGGCCAGCATTACCCTGATACCAAAACCAAAACTAATTTGGGCACAACAACAAAAAAGAAAATTATAGGCCAATATCTACTAATAAACATAATCCTCAAAAATATTAGCAACTGATCTGGCAGCAATTAAAAAGATCATTCTACATGCATCAAGTTTCCCACTTGCATCCCACAGAGATACATAAGGATGGTTCCACACTAAATCAATAACGTGTATACTCTATCCCATCAACAAATGAAGGACAAAAACCATATGATCATCTCAGCAGATGCAGAAAAAGCACAAAAGCTCCACAAACAAATATCTAAACCACATTCCACGGCACTCAGAATCAGAGTTTCACTGGTGCCCGAGACCATTTAAGGGTCCCAGGTCACTCAGTGTTTCCCAAACAAATGCATCTAAAGGAGCTAGAAAAGGTTAGGCCCCAGGAAATTAAAAAACACTACCTGATTTGGGGGTACTGCCTACCCCCACCCTACAGATTCAATATTTGAGATAAAAACCACCCCCATTTTCCCCCGCCCACCCAAAATGGTATGGCAGAAGGACAGAATGACAGAAAGCAAGAAAGCGTGCCTAGGCAAGCCACCAGAGAGAGAGTTGGGTAGCTACAGACTCAACACGGAGGGACAGCAACCATCTCTGCCAACTTTACCCACAGGCCTTCTAACAGGTGAGGGAGACATCAGCCAATGAAGGCCACTAAAATAGGCAAACTTCTCCCCACCAGCTCTGAAGCATACAGAACCAAGTTCTAGGGATTTCATTCAGTAGACACCTTGATTATAGCCTGATTGCTATGAGGGAAGGAGCAAAGAAGCAGCCTACAAACCACACCTAGGAGTCACATATCACCTACCTGGTTTCATTTCAAACACCCTCCAAGAGCAAATTTGGGGTGGGGCTGACAAAGGAAGCCTGCCCCAACTGGGCCTGGGGAGTTGGCAGGTATGGGAGACTTGGGAACAGGAAGGGGCATTTGTTCCTTACTCTGTTTTTCCAAAGCTTTTTGCTTTTTCACTTCCTGGTGCTTGTTCCACAATTCTACCCCAGATGCAATGCAAGCGGGAGAGAAAGACAGAGAGAGTCAGAGGCTGGTCAGACAGGCGAAATGGAAACCCACCCACCCAAGTTGATTCCGTTTCAGGCACAGGATTATCAATCAAGAGATATCTTCGTGGGGAAGGGGTGGGGAATCAAGAGATCCAATGCCTTCCCCCAAATTCATGAACTAAAGACTTCAAATTTCTAATTCTAATCCTATTATGGCAGTAAAAACTCTGCAGAATGTTAGGGCTGGAAGGGCCCTTGTGAAGCAGCTTCATTTTTACATGAGGAAAACTGATCCTAAATAAAGAGGATCTTCAGCCCTTGCTCAAGATCATGTAACTTAGGATCAGTTTAAACTTCTACCACATCATGCTGTCTCTGCCAAATGAGCTGGGGAATGGCAATTTTTACAGATTTCAGATAAGACGGGCAATCACCTCAAGTAGCCAAAGGGTTTCAGAAGCATGGGCACCAATCAGTTTGATTCACTGGACTGGACAGAGGCCACTCATGCAGTCAGCATGCCTCCCTATTGCTACCTGAGAAACCAAGGCACCATCAGAAGCAGTTCCTATACTACCAAGAGACCCATTCTTAGCCAGTCATCTGGGAAAATGCTTCCAGTAGAGGTGACAGGACATAAAATGGTCAAGACTAGCTTCTTAGCATGGGAAAGCAGACAGAATACCAATCATAGCAATTCTTTTCCTGGATGGAACTTCAGAGTTTATTTAGTATGATCTCCTCATTTCACAGCTGAGGAGACAGAGACCCTGAGAGGGGAATTGATTTACCCAAAGTTTCATTCCTAGCTGGGGGCAGATATAGGACTAAAACTCCAACCTCCAGACCGGCAGGTTAGTACTTTTTCTAGAACATCACATCAGGCAGGAGAAAGCCAGAGCTGACTGCCTCTAGAATTATATTATGCTGGCTAGGGAAGTGTAGTGCCCCTAAAAAGGAAACTGGTTCCTCACTACCATTGATGGGAACATAGGGCAACTGCTAATGATCATGGCAAAAGGCATCAGCTGGAAGCATAGTGCCAAAGGACCTAGAACCAGAAAAAGAAAGATATAACCTAGATGACTGAAGGTCAAGTAGGGAGTAAGCCAAACAGAGATGACACTGAGCTCACTAAGGCACTGCCTTAGTGGGAATGGAGAAACTAAATATAAGTAAGACTTTAATCAAGTCCAGTGAGGAGGAGTTCAAAGAAGAGCTGACTCAGAAACCTATATCTCTAAGGCCCAGAACACAGGAAAACCCCATGTCTGGGGCTGCCAGACAAGACCCAGAGGAGCAAATTCCAGGGCCGTGTAATGGTTGAATGGGGTGAAACTGGTTTCAGAGACCCAGATGATCATAATTTTATAGCCTAAAATTGCATCTGTAAACTTCCTAATAGCTTCCAGGAACTCACATGTCCTCTAGACTATGAAGAAATACAGATGTAAACAAAAAGAGGGGCTAGACTGTGAAGAAATGCAGATGTAAACAAAAAGAGGGGCTAGACTGTGAAGAAATGCAGATGTAAACAAAAAGAGGGGCTAGGAGTATAGCTCAGACTCCCCGCACTAAGCCTCCCGGGACCCTCTAAACAAAACTTCCATTCCTCAAAGACATAGGTGGGAGTGGCTGGAGATGAAGCTTAAGGAATAGAGAATTACAAAGAAATGTCATTAGAAATGGACACAGACCTATCTTCTTCTCTAGAAAGCAAAGCATGGGGAAGAGAAAGGCGGGATTCTGAATGAATTGAGAATAGAGAGGGATATTTAAGAAACCAGAACCCCTCCACCACAAAACACAGTGATACATACCAATAGATGCTACAAAATTCTCTTCCTTTAAACTTCTGGTGTCTGGTTCCTTGGGACCTTTTCCTGTGGCACTTGATGCCCGAGGTCCCAGCTGGGGAACTCTTAGCTGTGCCATAGCCTTTGGGTCCCCCCGCCCAGCCAGGCCAGGATCCTTGCCAACTGGGGTACTTATACTTTCTGTTGGACTTCTCTTTCGCTTATCTGGTTCTAAGGAAAAAAAATCAAAAATAAAAAGAAGTCAAAAGAGGTAATAAGTAGGAATCAAGGCACAAAGATGAGGTGAGAGAAGCCAGCAAGTGGAATGAAGAAATGCAGGGAAAGAAGAGCTGACATTTTTCATGACAGAAAAATATCCACTACATATAAACATGCACTAGAAAATAAAATTCCAAAGCCTGATGAGAAGCAGTATGGAACTGGGAAACTTGTCAAGGAGACAAGTACATTTTCTCTCTTTTAGAGATAAGTGGGAGAGTTGTGGATGGCGTGATGCCCAGCTGGTATAATCCCTACCTTTGCTATAGTAGTGGGTCTGGGCGATCTCCAGAAGCCCAAAGATGCTGGCCATGCCACCCAGACCTGCATGGGCATAGGACTGCTCCAGACTGAGGACTGTGCACTTGAGGAGATCTAACATTCCCTTGTACACCTTTCGACTGATCTCCTGCAACAATAACCCAGGGGCTAGCGTTGGCAAAATTGTCTTTGGTGTCCACATCCCTCTCCCCAGTTTATTCCGACTCCCTACCCCAAACACTGACCACATCCGGGATGATGTCCTGCCGGGCATCGTCCTCTGACTGCACTGTGCGGTTCAGCTTGCTCAGGACGAAGACTCGTAGCTGCTCGCTCTCCAGCAGCCGGCGCACCTTTTTCATGTTGAGCCAGCCAACTCCCTGGCCATCCAGCACGCTGTGCACCACCTCCTTCAGGAACTGCTGGTTCTCACTACGGGGTCCACAGACCACTGCTGTGGTCATCAGCTCCTTTGCAGAGCATCCCCACCTCCCCATCAGACTAGATGTTTGCCTCCGGGGGCAAAACACAAGCCAATTCTCTGAATGTTCAAATCCACCACATGCCCCAGCTCTCCAGATAACCTGGTTTGCCCAAATACCCACCACTGCTATTTCACCCTTCTCAATGCTGTAAGCTCTGTTGCATACAGATTGAATAGGAATGGGAAGTGCTGGCAAGAAACTGATTTTATGTACCTTACTGAGAGCTTCTCTCTCACTCTTGAGCATCCCTGAAGTTTTTGACAGGAATCACTACCTCTACTTCAGAAGTTTTAAAACAGCGCTCCCATTTATTACCTAGAATTGCTGGATCGACCCTGGGGTGATGGAGGTTCTCGTTTCACTGTTGGGCTGTGTTTAATGACAGATGACTTCTGATCCACTAAGGCCCTCCTGTTTCCTATAGCAGGGAAGGTAGGAATGAGAGACATCATTATTGTAGTCCAGAAGCTAGTGCTAGCATAGCCCTGAGCAGCCATGTTCCACACCCAATCCCCAGAAGGGCTGGGTGAGGGTGGCACCAGGGTATCACACATAGATAGAAACCAGCCATGGCAATGTGAGGAGGTGGGGATGGAGACTCAGGCCACTCCACATGCACCAGCAGCACGCCCCAAGGGCAAGCATGGGTGTCACAGGGGGGCAGGGCAAGGCAGGTCACCCATGTGATGCTGCTTGCTCCATAAGGAAGATGACCCTCAGGCAGGCACGAAAGATGCTAGGAAAAAAAAAAGATCATGCACAGCTCACAGGCAAGACCCACCTTCACCACTCCCGGGGCCGGCTTCAGTAACAATCTCCATTAGAGTATTTAGCCCAAATACTGGGACACAAAATACACAATTAGTAGGTGCACCACAATACTACAATCCCTATACCCCTCAGTGGAGCATAAGTCAGATAATCTGAGCATTCTCCCAAAGCCTGTATAGTGCACATAACCTTGGCTCTTGGGCACCTCCGAGCTGGAAGCCAAGTGACCAGGAGACAACCAAGGCTGTAAAAAAGACCATCCTTAAGACAGTAGCCTCTCAAAGCCAGGGGCAGGGTAAATGACGCAGTAAGCCTGCAGGTACTAAACAGACACATGCATGAAAGAGGGACCACTGGTTTTCTTGAAACATCTGGCACAGGGGTCCAGAGGGCCTGCAGGTATGCACAGGAAAGCATCTTGCAGATGCTGTTGTGAAGAGTGGACTGGGGGTATGAGGATGGGAGGTGGGTAGGAGGATAAGTGCAGCAAATGAGATGAAGCATCAGCATGCAATGAAAGTCTCAATCACTCTGCTCTTCAAATATATCAAATAAAAGCCAGTGACATAACACCTTTCCATCCCTACCTACCCAGCCATATGTGAACTCACTGTACCAGCATTAGTCAGTTCCCCATACTGCCAGTTCTGATGTCCTTTTGCCCATCTATCTCATGGTCCCATTCCTACCAAAGAACATTCCTTAGGCTGGGCATGGTGGCTCACACCTGTAATCCTAGCACTCTGGGAGGCTGAGGCTGACGGATTGCTCAAGTCAGGAGTTTGAAACCAGCCTGAGCAAGAGTGAGACTCCGTCTCTACTATAAATAGAAAGAAATTAATTGGCCAACTAATATATATAGAAAAAAATTAGCCGGGGATGGTGGCGCATGCCTGTAGTCCCAGCTACTTGGGAAGCTGAGAAAGTAGGATTGCTTGAGCCCAGGAGTTTGAGGTTGCTGTGAGCTAGGCTGACGCCACAGCACCCACTCTAGCCTGGGCAACAAAGTGAGACTCTGTCTCAAAAAAACCAAAAAAATAAAAAAATAAAAAATAAAGAACATTTCTTAGACTCCTGACATTTTTAATCACTGGGAATAAAAGGCCAGTTAAATAATATATGGAGTTGCTTCTCACTATACATCCTACCATAATTAAATATTTCACCACAATATCCAGAGAAAACAGTCGAAAGGCAAGTTAAATTCAGAAGAGCCCCTCAAACTGTTAGAAATCACAAATAAAATTAAAATACGGTCTTACCTGTCCCTATAAGCAAACCAAAACTATCTGGCACAGTTATAGGCCCTAAGTTGACATGAAGCCATAGTAATGTAAGAGACTGGACTCTTAACACTGCCAGGCTGTCCACAACCATCTTCTGGTGGGCAGCTCCCAGGGATGGAATTCATCCTAAATTCATGCAGTGGGAACCTGGCAGATGACTAGGGGCATCTGATGATCCCTGTGTTAATCATGTCCCTCTGACAAGGTCCCCCAAGAAGCAGCAGTAATCCTATAGTTGCCATTATCCTAAATGATATAACAGGGCCTTCTCTAGCTACAAAGACCAAAGACAGTTTCCATCTGACAAACATCAAGAGCCCATGATGTGCAGTGAAAGCCATGAGAAGCAATATGAGGGGTGACAGCCAGATCAAACGACTCATCATACACAGGAGTCCTGACAAGCACCCATAGGCCTGAAATATCTCTCAGAAAAACCTGCTTTGGCAAAAGGAGGGTTGTAGTTACCTTTCAGACTGGGGAAGGGTGTGGTCTTCTCTCGGGCACCTTTGGTGGGCAGTGTAAGGTTTGAAAGACTGAAGCTTGTACTGTGGTTCCGATACAGGCTGCCTATCAAAGGGAGGGTGTGAGAGCAAAGAGTTATAGCAGAATAAACAATCCAAGGACTATACTCCAATGACTGTATCATCATCTTCCTCTCTTTTTTTTTTTCTTTCTTAAATCTAGCTTCAAGTATAATATCTCCCTCCTTTTCGAATATAATCCAAGTCTGGTATATCAGACAATCTCTGATCTATCTTAGAAAGGATCAAGTCTAACTTAGGGCAAACAACAAAGCTATCACCAGGATTATTCAAAACCCAATAACAACTTTCTCTGACTACCTTCCATGATGATAGTAGATGAATCTCCCATCTACTGCTACGACAGCATGAAAGCTGGTAGTTAATATGCCTCCGGTCTGAAACTGGTACTGTCCTTCCCTGGCTTCTGAAAAAAATTTGCAATCACCATTATTCCCTGTCACTCTCTCTAGTCCTAGTCTGTCTTCAACCTTTAACTGATTACCATCCCTCACTGCTGGAAATACTTTCTAAGCACAAAAATCAATCTCATATAGATTTCAAAACATGTTTGTGAAAAAGTGCCTCACCAGGCAAAGATGACATCAGATGTATACCCAAATCAAATTTGAGCAGAATATTGCCACAAAATATAAGTGATTTTGAATTTAATGTCTATTTTTCAGTTGACCACTCAGCTATCTTCCCTGAAATAGACTGAAACCTCCAGGTATAATCTGTCCTATCCTTTATTGACCTCACTTGAAAATATCTTATCCAGTATCACCCAATGATCTGAATTAGGAGTTGATAATGCTAACCCAGCCCTACACCTGAATTTCTAAGCAGCATTTGCCATAGCCAGGCCCTACTGTAGAGAAAATGGAACAGAGGAATGAGAGAGCATAAGGCACTTACTGGCAAAAGACATGATGCCCCCGAAGCCCTCGGTGCTGGTGTTGGAGACGGTGGAGGTGGGAGAGCTTGCCCGAGAGTCTGACTCTGCGTCTGAATCACTTGCCAGTTTCAAGCTGTTGGGCCGCAGCAGCTTTTGAGCCCTTGAATGCACAGTGGCACCTATGAGCCCCAGGCAGGGGTGCCTAATCTTGGGAGTGTGGGCCTTATGCTACACTGCAGTCACTGTGCTCTTCCCATAATTCCTAAACCCCTACATCAAAGCACTACCCTCTGGGATGGCAGGACCACGAGAGCATTCAGACTTCTCAGACTTTCTGATTAACCCTCGCCCAGGGTCCACTGTAGTGAGGTCCTTCAGTCACCCATCTAGAAGGAATCCCCCAGGCTCTCACCGATTGCCATTGACATGTTGGCTGAATCGGGGAGTGTAACTTTCCCCCTGCTCATCATCATCTTCCTCAGGGGGAAAGCCATATTGGGGCTCGAAGTATGGATTGTCATAGGTTCGCCGGCGCACTGACCCCTCTCCAATTTCTGTCTGACGCCTGTCCACGTTCGATTTGCCAATGCTGGGAGGCACAGAAGGGAGGGGCTTGAAGACGCCTACAGCTGCCTTATCATCCATCTCTGTAGAGTCAGCAGGTTCCTAAAAGCCATATTAAATAAAAAGTGGTCACCTGGTGCCCAGTGGTGCCTTCCCATATATTCTCAGTTTGGCAGGGCTGGGCCAGGCCTGTCAGATTCCTAGCCTAAGGAACATGTGGGAAAAGATCTGTTTGGCACTCCTATTCTCTGTCTCCACAAACTATGCAAGGGGAATCTTAGTTATATCCTGAAAAAAGCCAATGACCTTCTTCTGAGGTCAAAACTATATTTTGGCTTTAAGCTCTAGAGCCTATAGAGAGGAAGATGGGAAAATTATGAGGAAAAAAGCAAATTAATAGCTACATCATGGCTTTCCTAATAGACATAAAGCCCACATCCCAAGCAATGGTTTTCACTCATCCACCTCTCCCAATCCTCACGTACAGAGTTGGCTCCATGGATGACAGTGCTGGGGCTACTGCTGGCGGTGGTGCTGGAGCTAGAGCGCTGTGGGGGGTTTTCCTGAGAGTTCTCACTGTCTGGGCCAGGCTCCTCTGCTTCCTTCTGGTTCTGAAGCTCATCAATCTCCACTTCGCTGGCATCCCCCAGTGCTGCATGCGTTAGAGGGTCCACATCTGCCAAAACCCAAGGGAGGCAAGTACAGACCACCTAATCACTGAACCCCAATGCCTGCCCATAGCTGGCCGATCTCCCCAAGCACACTTACTGGGAGTATCACCATTGATGTCGCATTTCATCATTTCACTGACAAAGTCACCAAGAGAGGAATAAGAAGAGCTCGAGTCATCATAATCCATACTATCACTGCCACTGCAGAGTGTTAGGGCATAAGAAACAAACAAGACAGAAAGGGCAGGGAAAAGAATCTGCCATCAGCACCAGTTAAAATAAAAGGGGAGCACTCAACTCAAGCCCAACAAGATAAAATAAGGAAGCCAAGAAAAACAATCAACCAAAATATAATCCAAGGGCTCAAAGACTGATATGTAAATCCTATGATATTTTGCATCCCATGTGCTGAAGAAGGGCTAGTGAGAGCCTCTTTACCTTAAAAGGCACTGTGCTGCCACAAGGGTTGCTCACCTGTCGTCAGTAGGGTCAGAGTCAGAGTCACGCTCTGGCGGCACATTCAGTGCCTCCGCCAGCTGGGAATTGCTATCATAGACTCGATAGTGGATGGGCTGCAGCTGATGAGCATACCACTTTGGCTTGTCACCAATCAGGGCTGGATCAAACATATCTACCAATGAGGAAAAAGAGAATTAGCAGCAAGGAAAAAAAGGCAAGCAACACATAAAAGAAAGGTAAGAAAAAAAGTCTAAAGCAAAACAAGAGTAGAAGGTACAGGTCAAAGATTAGCAAAGAACAAGCAAAGGGAAGAGCCATCAGGATGACAAAGGCAGAAGGTGGGGCAGAGCAGAGGGCAGGTAGACTCACTGTTGTGAATTCGCTGAAAGGCATAGTTGGTGGGGTTAAGGATCCATTCCCCAAAGTACTCCACAGCCTGAGTCCTGGCCAATTTCTCAGCAAAAGGAGTCTGCCGTGGACGTGAGGCTAGAAAGGAACCAGCTTGAAAAGCTACCACAGGCCGAGGGAAGAGACGCAGGGTACGTGTGTGCATCTGAAAGCCCTGCAGCACGTTGGCAGAGTTGAAGAAACGCACCATGGCCACTCTGGGGAAGAAGGGGATGGTGAGATAATCTGAGACCCATACCCTGTAGAGTAAGGATTCCTATGATCCAAGGTCTTAGAACAGCTCCCAAAGCCATCATTTAACAGGCTTCCAACATCAAGGGGAGAGATATCTTAAAGGATCATCAATCCCCTTCTTCATTCTAAGAGTGTGATTTACTATTTCTTCTCTTTGCTTTTACTAAGGTAAAAAGTACAACCAAATATCATATACATTTTGTATCAAGAAACTCTGGCTCAGGAAAATAGTCTACCCAAGGTCATTGACAGAGCAAAGAGACCAATTTAAGAATTTATGATTATATAGTGTGCTTGCTCTTACCTGGTTGCAACATCCACAGAATCCACATCATTGCCATAGATAAGTGGGTTGAATTCAGTGGAAGGTGTGGACTGCAGGTCATTAGAAGGCCTTCCCAACAGAAGTGGGATCTCCTGGCCTTCATGAAATTTCTCCAGATTGAGGATGGGCTGAGTGTTGAGACTCATGCTTGCTAGGGCCTATGGAACAACCAGAAATTCCTTACATTAGGCAGGTTCCTGGGCAGCTAGCCAATCTCAATTCCTACAAAAGAGCCTTCTTGAAGTCTTCTACATCATACTCTCTGGTAAAAATGTTTTGCAACAGGTTAGGCATGGTGGCTCATGCCCATTATCCTAGCACTCTAGGAGGCTGAGGGGGGAGGACTGCTTGAGCTCAGGAGTTTGAGATCAATGTGAGCAAGAACGAGACCCCCATCTCTACTCAAAATAGAAAAAAAATTAGCTAGGCATGGTGGTGCATGCCTATTGTCCCGCCACTTGAGAGGCTGAGGCAGGAGGATCGCTTGAGCCCAGGAGTTTGAGGTTGCAGCGAGCTATGACACCATTTCACTCTACCCTGGGTGACAGAGTGAGACTCTATCTCAAAAAAAAAAAAAAAAAAAAAAAAATTCTGCAACAAAGGAACTGTGCTTATTTGCAAATCATGGCCAACCTATTTCAGACCTTTCATCTTTGAAATAAGAATCCAAATATTTTAGTCTTTAGAAAATAGTGTTTACCTTAGGGATTTTGAACCTGGAAATAAATAATAAAAAAAAAAAAAAAGAAAGAAAATAGTGTAAAGTATGTAGCTCTTCATTTTAAGCCAACCTAATCCAGGGCAATTTGATGAGATCTGAAGTCTAGGACAATAGTTTTCAAATTTATTTTAGTCATGAACTGTTTTCCAAAATTGAAATCTATGTGGAGATACAAACAATTGAAATGTAAAAACAGAACTTCTTTGAAGGATATAAGGAACCACAGCCTCATATGCTCAGTGCTGCCAACCTAAATTAGCCACTAAGAGGCTCCATGGGGCAGTTTGAGTTTGAAAACCACTGGTCTAGACTAGCAGTACTTCTTAAATATTAGTGAGTATAAGAATCATCTGGGGATGTTGTTAAAATGCAGATTCTGATTCAATCATCTCTGTACCTTTCTTCTTTTTTTTTTTGAGAGACAGGGTCTTGCTCTGTTGCTCAGGCTAGAGTACAGGTGGTGTCATTGTAGCTCACTAAAACCTCAAACTCCTGGGCTCAAACAATCCTCCTGCCTCAGACTCTCAAGTACCTGGGACCACAAGTGCATGCCAACATGCCTGCCTAATTTTTCTATTTTTTTGTAGAGATGGGGTCTATGTTGCCCAGGCTGATCTCAAACTCCTGGCATTAAGCAATCCTCCCACCTCAGCTTCCTGAAGTGCTAGGATTATAGGTGTGAGCCACCGTGTCTGGCCTTGACTCTGCACTTTTAACAAGCCCAGGTGATGCTAATGCTGCTGGTCCATGGACCACACTTTAAATAGCAAAGATCAGAATACAGGATCAATGAGCCCAAAGATCTTAATTCTCACGAACATATATCAACCTCTCCATCTCAGTAGTCATACTAAAGCAATCATCAAGAATGAAAATACAGAAAGTGAAGACACCTAGAGAACTTTCTGAATTTGCAATTTTCACCAGACCCTACAGTAACAAGATATCATATTACATCAGGTGTGATGAAGCAAGTGAGAGTGAGAAGGATGATACAAAATGACCCATTTAAATTCAAACAGATATCATCTACAGGTACTACTAAGTACTTTAAACAACACAGGAAAAGATTTCTAGAGACCTTTCAAATGAGAGCAGGGGTTCCTAAAAATAAATACAGTGCTACATAACACATAAAGCAAGGGGCAGGAATGGAGCCTTGTTATGTTTTACCTTCAGGTACTGTGTACAGCATGCAGAAGAAGAAGAAAATCAATCAATAAAAAATAAATAAGGGATTACTCAAATAAAGGAATTTTTGAAGAAAGGATTCCACAGGAACCTCAGGATCAATTCTAGAAGATAAAATAAAAGGAGCCAGACTGTCCAAACTACTGACTCCTATCTAATAAGACTGAGAAAATGCTCCAAGGCCATAAAGAATGGCAGACAAGACAAGAAACAGAAAGTGAAGAGTTGTTTTACACAGCATCTTAAGCATTAGAGGGTGATAGGGCATGTAGTGAATTAGAAGAAATCTAAAAAGTTCTTTTTGAGAGTCATCCTGCCACCCAGAAATGGGATACACCTCTTCTTAAGCCCATCTGAGGCAACAAAAATCTACTCCACTTGAAGTTTGAAAGGAAACTGGCTCTTAGAATAGCTGTCTTCCTACAGCAATCCCACAGAATCTATTACCCCAAATCCTCTCTTTCATCCTTCACCTACCTGCTTTAAATGTTTTTTCAGCTCTAATGATTCTGGTTCTGGCAGGATAGGTAGCACTTCTGCATTGGTGGGGGCAATCACCTACACCAGAGAAATGATAAAAGATATAACCTTAGCATTGCTTAGGAGTTTCATTTACATAAGGATAAATAACAGCAACGAAAAAGGAAGATATATATACACAATATTATTATATAAATGTGAACACATACATTAAATACCTGTACATATAATATCTATAAATACATGATATTCATACACATCTAAAAAAATATACCTAAATGTTATTTGTGATAATCTCTAGATAATAGGAGTACGGTTTTTATTTTCTTCTTTATGCTTATTTTTAAAGTTTTACAATGAACACATGTAAGGAGTTCCTACCAAAGTTTGAATGTATTCGCAATGTAGAATGTTAAGTCTGAAAGACAGTTTCTTACTGGAAACTATACCCCAAGAAAACCATTAGGAGATGATCTACACCACATACAATGGTCCCGAAACCACAACCGCCCTACTGCTCTTGGAGGATGCAGGGGGAACATTTAATTCTTGCAATACTAAATCCTGTAATTCTTTGAGTCCTAACCAAGGGCCTACTTAGCCAATTAAGTAAACAGTATTTTTAAAAATTGTTTCAATGAGTCTCATATTAGAAAACATCCAACAACTTAGAACCTTCCTGAGAGTAATATCTAGAAAAACAGATATGACAGGATCGGGTCTTATTTGCAGGTCCTAGAATACCATTGCAGACCCTACAATGCCCTCAGCCAAGAACCTCACCCGATTGCTGTCCAGATCTACTAGCCATACATCATCAGGCATTTTGAAGTCCAGTTTGTAGAGGAAGAAGCTGGCAGGGACCCCGATGATGTACGGGGTTGGAGCCAACAGCAGCTGTGGAAATGATAAAGAGGATAAGAAACAAAGACAAAAATCTAACACAAGCACTTATCAAGTCTGGATTTTTCTAGATAAGGAAATGCAGATCCACAATCCCTTTTCCGAAACCCTTGAAGCTAGATGTCTTTCAAAGTTCAGAATTTTTCTGATTTTAGTAAGGTAACACGATGCATTTTCTGTATACAGTAGTCCTTCCTTATCTGCAGTTTGGCTTTCTGCAGTTTCAGTTACTCACAGTCAACCATGGTCCAAAAATATTAAATGGAAAATGCCAGAAAAAAAACACTTCATAAGTTTTAAACTCCATGCCAGTCTAAGCAATGTGATGAAATCTCATGCCATTCCAATCTGTCCCACCCGGGATGTCTTTGTCCATTATAGCCATGCTATATACACTACCTGTCTGTTAGTCACTGAGGATCCATCCCAAGTTATCAGATCAACTGTCACAGTATCACAGTGCTTCTGTTCAAGTAACCCTTATTTTACTTAATAATGGCCCAATGCACAAGAGTAGTGAAGCTGACAATTTGGATATGCCAAAGAGAACCCAAATATACGTCAGAGTTGTTAATCTATTACTATGCCTAATTTATAAATTAAACTTTATCATAGGTATGTATGTTTAAGAAAATAAATAGTATATATTGAGTTCAGCACTGTCCAGTTTCAGGAATACACTGGAGATCTTGGAACATATCCCCCACAGATAAGGGAGGACTACTGTTTTACAATACGTAACACATGCAACGGGGTAGCCAGTAGCTTACAATCACTAACTATGATAAATAAAAACTATAAATGGCATAGGTTTTACACCAGATCAGTTCAAATCAGTCAGATTTTGCAGACAAATAAATTCTGATAAGGGATTGAGTGCTGACTTACTTCATTGGGCATTGAGCCTCCTCCCTCAAGAAGACAGAAGTGACAAAGCCAGAAGACACCTTGACACTCACCTGCTCTGCCGATGCCATGCAGGTGGGAAGCAGTGGGATGACAGGAAACATATATTCCAGAGGGTAGATCATTGCCACAAATGCCATCACAGACATGGAGAGTGCATTGTAGTCTCGGGACTGTAGTACCACCTGCCATAAGCCATACCATAAGGATGACTCAACAACATAAAATAAGGTTTACAAGAAAATAGCTTCCAAAATTACAATTTAATTTATATTTTGCCATGTCTACAGCTCCAGTTTAATTTCTACAATCACACCATGCCTGCCACCTCCCAACCCAAGCACTGCAGTATTCCTCCCTCAGATAACTCCCTTACCTTCCCAGTTCTTATGCTCCCCAGCCCAGGACCACTCACTGAAACAGAACTACTGATATTTCCAGAGAATTAGGTCAGTATAATTCAGCTTAATGGCAAGCCTTCTGAATACATCCCACATGGTATCAGGACCTTAATTCACATCTACCAAGTACCTGCCATATACCTGGCATCATGTTACCTCCTGGAGACAAAAAGATGAAAAAATATAGCCCCTGTCCTCAAAGAGCTCATGGTCTAGCCTCTGCCATATTTCGAAGCTCTTTCCCTAGAAAGGTCTATAAAGCTGGCCCCTTACCTTGTGCTCTAACAGGATGCAGGTTAGCACCTGAAGACAGGCATCCACACCCAGAAGTTCCAAGGGAAGGTGCAGTGGGAAATCCACTAGGGTGAATCTAGAGGGGTCTGGAAGAGCAAAGGTCAGAGATGGCTGGAGCTCCTGGGGTAGGACCTCAATGTCTACTCGCTTCTGCCCAGAGACAGGTACTGGGGAGCGCAGTAATCGATAGATCCAGGCCTCAATCTCTCGAAGGTCATGCAGAAGGGCACTTGACTTCTCCTCCACTAGCAGTGATCCAGTAAAGATCCGCCACATGGTGTCCCTGAGGAGCAGATAGCAGGAATGAGACACATATCTGCAACAGAAGCAGACAGCCCAGTGCAACCCAATATAACCATAGAGGGTATAATGATGACAAGCGGGAAATCATTATGAAAGCCCACTCTTTGAGCTCAGATAGGACCAGAGGGTTTATACAAGGGCAAGGACAAGTATAAAAATGTATACACGGTAGGACTTAAGTGTCCTGCCCACCATAAAACATCAAATTCCTCATCATTACTCAAAACACAATTATGGCAGGAGGTCTATCTCTGCAGCAATCTTTTGCTTAGTAAGACTAACATAATATGCTTAACTAGGTGTGAAGGACCTCGGGCTGTAGAGGAAATCTCCTATATACCTCATAGACCAATTATACCTAATCTCTCAGTGCTCCCCCTTGCTCTCAGCATCAATGGCAAACTCTACCTTTGTACGCCTCGAGGGATGCCCAGTTTCTTGCCCAGCAGTCGCTCACTACAGCAGTCCACCAGACGTTTGAGGGTATACAGACACTCTCGGAAGGTGGAGAAGAAAGGGTAGTGGCTGAGCACACACAGGGATGTCAGAGTACTGTTGCGGGAACGGCTGCCCCCCTTGGCCCGGCGTTTGCCCCGAGGAGACTGGTTCACATCTGGGGTGGAGTCAGCACTGGGAGGCTGCAGGGACGAGCCACTCTCTGAGCTCTCAGTGCCAACCTCTTCTGAGGAGCAGGTGACACGGGTTCCTTCCTTCCCACGGGACCCTGCCCCACCTTCCCCCTTTTCCTTAGGTATTCGCTTTTGGAAGGAGCGGTAGAAGTTAACACAGATGCCGTAACGCGTGACTCCTGTGTCCTTGTCAGTGAGGGTGAAGACAAAAGAGGTATCATCCCGAAGGCTCATGCGCCGCTGCCGCACACTCAGACAGCCCTCTGGCTGGCAGAAGAATACTACGTCTGGGGGCAGGGGAAACTCAGCGTGATCCTCTAATGGGTATCGCCGCAGCAATTCAGGAGTCTGGGCCACACTATCACTGCTTGGGTGCCTGAAGAATGTAAAGACAATTTCAGCAGCCTGAAGCAACAGAACACTCTATCAAATTTTAATCACAGTCAACAAACAAAGCTCAAAATGTGATTTTGGATAAAGTAACCTAACTGTAAGACCTTAGAAAATATAGGTGCTGCTTGCCACATTTAGTTGATAAGCTAAATGAAGTCTGCACTGTCATGAAGACAGCTATCCTGAAATGAAAATTTCGACAATAAAATTCTCACTAACACGTTAAGATGATTAACACCTTGCCAGGTTAACTAGCTAATGACTTACTAAAAGATCATACGGATATGGAGGTAGAGAAGGAACACAATGTACTTTTCCCTTTTACAAAGTAAGAAACCTGGGGTATAATGAGTATGTATGCTCAAGATCACAAAGATGCTAGTTAAGAGCAGCAGTCTTTGTCCAAACTAATACTCTCAATTCACCTTGCTGTGTTTTTTCCTACTGGCATCAGTGCTCCCATCAGGGTAAAATAATAGGGAAAGAATGATATAGGCAAAGTGACATAGAAATAGGGAAGGGGAATAATTTTGTGGCTATCTCACAAGACAAAAATCAGTCTCTTCTTGGTTACCTGGCCCCTACGATCACTAGATAGTCAAGTAACCGAGGACAGAACTTCTTCTTTTGCACCATGGTTCCAATTCATCAGTTCATCTCAGAGGAACTTCAGGGCATCAAGCAAGGAGTCAGTGTTCCCAGGAGAAATTCTGATATTATCTGAAAGTCCAAGTCTAATAGGAAAAAAGTACTGATAAGATCCATTGCTGTGCCTAAGGGACTTAGCCCTCTCAACTTCATCCCAGCCAGGGGCACAGGTCAGAAGTTCTTCCACTTTAATACTAAAGATAGGAAAACTTGATGCTTGCCTATTCTAGTGTCTGAGCTTATAAGCTCACAGAGTCAAATGTCAAGAAGTAGGATAAATAATGGCTCACCTACCTATCTCTACCAATAGCTAATTTCCAGCCTAACCCCTGGGGCTCTGTTTCTGAAAACAGACCTAGGCAGTCTCATCTAGACTCAGTCATTATGATAACAAAAACTGAGTCACTTTCAGGACCCCTCCAGGGTGGATCAAGATCAAACCAGGCTCTTCAACCAGCACTAATCCGACTTCTAGGTCTAGATGAAAACCTAATTATTCTGTTTCAACATTCTATATTCAGCTTGATATGAAACCACCATATAGCCTGTCTAGTTAACTGCACTCAGACAGTAACAACAGCTGACTATTCTACCTCATGTGATCTCAAATGAAGAAAGCATGTGTCCTAATGGCTTTATCTGAACTATTATACTTTACTCCCCCTTCAAGCAAGAAAGGGGCCCCGCAGCTACTGCTACTAGCTCTGCCCTTGGTGCTGAATCATAGTCTTTCTCTTCTATTCTGGTCTCAGGATAGAAACCAGTAATACGATACTACAGATGAGGCTTTGTCCTACTATATATTGCATAGGTTATGAATTAGATGCAGAAATCCTAAGGACAGGGAAAAGTGCTCAGGAAATTTCTAAACTATGTCTTAAAATTAGGAAAAGCTTACATGGTCTTAATTTTAATTTATTTCCTCTTAGGTCTCCACACATTTCTCTAACTAAAATGTTTACTACAGGGCTATTTCCAGTGTTCTAGGATTCTACCTCTGTGCTCTGCATCTGGCCTTATTAAGACCTTTTTCAATGTACACACAAAGAATCCCATTACACTACACACACACCCCCCAATCCCAGTCTGCTGCTGCATGCACGCCCATGCATACAGACATACACACTCCCTGTGTGCTTAAAGTCCTATTTGATTTAGATAATGAAAAGTTTTATCTTTTTTCCCTCCACCTAATAATAAACAAGACCCATCTGCATCACCTCTTGAATCTTCAAAGTACTGCTCCCCTTGTTCCCAGTAGAGGACCTGCAGGTAATAGGATTCAGTTTTATCACCATAGCGACTCTAGCTCCCAGCACTATTTATAGCAGAGCCAAAGCCCCTCCCCTGCTTGGTGACCGCTCAGTGCTAGCAGCTGCTACTCAGAGTCAGCCAGGGCCCACAACAATTTACTCTCCTTGAGCCTGGGGACCTCTTCCACTGACACCACCTGCTAATAATCAGGTTATCTTTTGCCCATCTGTCTTTAGTTCGTATTTTGTCCTAATTTTGGCTTTTGATAGCAATACCTCCTCACCACCATGTTCCCAAACATGCTATATATTCATTTCTAGGCATCACCACTGCTTAATGAACCCAAACAGCCCTTTGGTTCTCCCAACTGCTACAGAGCCATAAGTATACTACAGAAGGTGGGACACCAGTATAAAGCTGAGCTCAGCTCTTCCTAAGCAGAATAAGGGGAGGGAAATAGAGAAATGATATGGGATCTGGGTGAAAGCACAATTTGTTCTATAAAGAATTATGTGGTTGGCTGGGCGTGGTGGCTCATGCTTGTAATCCTAGCACTCTGGGAGCCGAGGTGGGTGGATCACTCAAGGTCAGGAGTTTGAAACCAGCCTGAGCAAGAGCAAGGACCCGTCTCTACTAAAAATAGAAAGAAATTAATTGGCCAACTAAAATATATAGAAAAAATTAGCTGGGCATGATGGTGCATGCCTGTAGTCCCAGCTACTCAGGAGGCTGAGGCAGGAGCATCCCGTGAGCCCAGGAGTTTGAGGTTGCTGTGAACTAGGCTGAAGCCATGGCACTCCAGCCTGGGCAACAGAGTGAGACTCTGGCTCAAAAAAGAATTATGCGGTTAATTTGTCATGGGATTGGGGGGGGGAATTATGTAGAAATGTCTACACTGAAAGCCAAAGTAGCTTAAAGTAAAACAGAATTTATAGGACCAGAGCTCTAGGCTAAGCCTTGAAATCTTACGCTGAAAGCCAGGAGCGCTTTCCAGCCAAAATCTCAAAGATCAGGCCTGAAGCCTCTCCTACTAATATATTATTAGGCTATGGGGCCTCTCTTGTCTTGGTGGGATCTCAGCTCCTCTCCACTAAGAACTGTTTGATAAAACCCAAGACATTTACAGTCCTCATCCCCTTCCAGAGCCACAAGGACCCTGAGATCTTGTGACTATTCTAGCTACAAGTGGCAGGATAGATTTTTAGCTACAGATTCATATCTCATCAACAGCCACTGCCTTCAGTTACTCAGCAGAGTAACCTGCAGAGATAACCAAGGCTTTTCTTCTCATTCTCTCCCCACAAAGACTAAATCCTCTAACACACCCACAACTAACACTCAGTCTTCATAACCAACCAGACTCATACTCTGCCTCAACCATATTTACTAATGTGGAGCCCCTGGTTCCTATCTCCATATATTCCAAAGGCATCAAGCTCAAAATGCATACCTGTCTGCTGAAGTCTTACACCATCCACTCCAGCCAGATGCAGATTCAGGATCCATAAACCTTTAACTTACCCATGCATTTTTCAGCCTACAATGCCCATGCTAACCAACCCTTTGGATCTGTCCCTCCCCCGTTTTAGGCAGGATCTCATAGTAAAGCCATAGAAACCGGAGAGCGATATGACATCTCTGCTGACGCGAGCACAACAGGAGGCTCTCCTCCCCTCCTCCCCATCCCCAGGCAGTGACCTTGCAAGCTCATCAGCACGGACTGGTCCAGCGTGAGGGAGAACTGGAGCAATGAGGTAGGCAATTGGCGGGGCTGGGGAAGAGGGGAGGACAGGAAAAGGAGCAAGAATTTAGAGATGCACGAAAATGGGGAGGGGAGCGGTTGCCAGAAAAAGATTAAATGGTGTCTCCAGTCTCCAGTAAGTCAATTTGAAACACCAAATTTTTTTTAAAAAATCTTTATTAAAAAACCTAACGTGGTTCTCCAAATCATAACCAAAACTGAGGCGCGCAGGCGCGCACATACACACGCGCGCACGCACAACGCCAAACGCTCGTGCAGGCTCGGGCTCCGGGCTGGACAGCTCTGCCCGCCCCCTCACCTGCTGGACAGTTCTCCCCCGCCCCCGTCCCGGAACCAGCGCCGCCCGCCCGGCGGGAATCCAGCCGAGCAGCCCAGAGCTGCACCGGAGCCCGCAGCCCGCAGCCCGCAGCCCCTCGGTGGCCCGGGGCGTCCCCATGCCACCGACCTCGTCCCCTTCCTCCTCTGACCCCCGCCTCACTCCCTCCCGAGACTCCACGCCCTTTCACTCATAGAGGGCCTCCAAAGAGACCCTTTCCTCCTAGAGCCCGTCTCCCTCTAGGAGTCCCTAAATACTCAAATACCCTTCCAGACCCCCAGTGACCCAGGTTGTCCTACCTTCCGAGCCTGGGGGACCGGCTAGGCCCGGCCGGACGTCCCCCGGCAGCGGAGCGTCAGTCGCCCCGGCGCTCGGCGCCACTCCGAGCAGGCGCCAGTTCCGCGTCCGCACCGGGGGGCGCGTACCTCTCCGAACCGGTGCGGAAGCCAGAGGCTGAGGGGGGCCGGGGCCGTACCATTCACCCCTGGGGGGACTGGGCTGCACCAAGCCGCGCGCTGAAGGGTGGAGTAGACGGGGAGAAAGGCGGTACTCACACGCCTATCCGTGTGGAAGTGGGAACGAGACTGGCGTGCTGGGCCAGTCCAGCGCCACTGAGTTGCAAGGGGAGGACCCGAAGGAATACCTTTTGTTTGGGCTCCTCACACAGATTTTGATCCGACATGGTCATAGAGCCCGTTTCGACGAAACATTGATTAATCTGAAAGTGACTTCTCAGGATAAACTGCACCTGAGAGTTTCTGATCCTCTCCACACACCTCACCTCCCTCCCCCCGCATGCGGCTTGGAAGTGCCCGGCCGCCGGGGCTGACAAGCCGGCTGTCCCGCCGGCGGAGCCTACCAACTCTGGGCAGCGGGGGGGCTTGAGCTAAGGCGCGGCCGGTATCACCTACACGCCGCGCACCAGAGAAGGGGGCGTGAACAGTGCCGCGGTGCCCGCTGGGAAGTGGAGTCCAGTCCTTTCAGGCTGCCAAACCCGCCACAGGGTAGCCTCCTTGTGGCCTCAGGGGCCTTTTCCTCCTGTCCCACAGGGCTTGGGGGCTGGAACCCAGCCCTGGGTCTTTCAGGCTGTGCCCTTTATTTCAGATGTCAACGGAAAACCTAAGGCACACACGCACGTGAGGTGCACTTTGGCTGAGGCATTAGTTCTGAAAATCCACTTCTTCCCCCACAGAAAGATAACCCGATCCCACCTGGAACACTAAAGGGGAAGGAAGCGGGAAAGGGAAGGGGGGTCTAATCCTCAGCATTTCATTTACCCATATGGCGCGATGAGCTAGTAAAAGGAGCCCCCCCCACCACCACCCCCACTGCCAAGACTGTCACTTGTGTCACTTGTGACTTGTCTCCCTCCTCTGAGTCTGGAGGTGGATCCTAAAGGACACAGGCTTCCTCCTCTTCTGCTGTGCCCCACCCCCAATCCAGAAATTGGTTTTTCTCATTCTGCGTTCATTTTGGTCTGTTTTCCTGTTCAAACAGCGCCAGACCTGTCAGTGAGGCAGCCCCAAGGCATTTATGGCCAAGCCACAGAGTGACAGCGGAGAATTTCTCTTGGGGCCCTGTGGGGAAAACAGGAAGTGGTGGAGGCAGGATGGGCAGGGCCATGGAGAACCTTGTGCAAAGTGGCCCCCAGGTTCATCAGTTTGGTGGGGCCAGGACAGTCTTCAGAGGGAGCACAGCTTTAACAGGCCCCTCACTGACCAGCAGCCACAAAACTCCCAACCCTTTGACTCTTCTTTAATGCCACGTGAGGATCCTGTCCAACTCCCAGGAATGTTCGCTCTTTTCAGTCAGCTCCACCTCTAGGAGGCAGCCATGGGGCCTCAGCCATCCAGCCCAGAAAACAGAAGATATGGGAGAAGAATAGTCATTCGTTCACATCCCAGATCTCAGAGAGCAGCGGGGGGAGCTTTTTGTCCTGCAGGCGCAGTGCGAACACTTGCTCTGAGTGGACACTGCTCAGGGTCCGGAGGCTCACCAGTTTCATTAGCATCCGTGGGAACATCAGTTGGTCCTAGGGAAAGGAGAAGGACAAGTGCAGCCTTCTCCTCTCCCCAGGGAAAGGGGGAAAGGGTAGAGGAGTTGTGGGAAGGGTAGAGAATTGTCTGTGCACAGTGTAGGTAGAGGGGGATTCTTGAAGACAGGAAATGGACCTGTTGGAGCAAGAGCAAGGGCACCATGGGGAGACTCACGTGGGGGTGGTGGATGGAGACGTAGGCATGTAGGGCTTCCACATAGGTGTGTTGCAGACTCTCTACCTGGAGCTGGTCCTGCACGTTGGGCCGGTCTATCGATCACCAACAGAGTTGAAAAGCAGGTCTGGCCAAGGTCTTAGTTCCATACCCCATTATCACAACCAAAAAGCGGGATATGCCACACTCAACCTCTTCCATCCCAAAATAACACAGCAAGAGCCTCCCCCCACCCCTTAGTGAAAGTCTCTTGCTTGGTTTCCCTTCGCCCCTCCTCCACACCTGCAGAGAAGATGCTGATGGCAATGAGCAAAGCAAACTCGGCATCATTGAGCTGCAGCTCATTCATGGCTCTGGAAAACTCAAAGATGGGGTTGATGAATTCCACCTGCAGCCCTGGGGAGGAAAAAGGGAGGCTGAGGCATGTGGCAGGAACAGCAGGAACTTCCTTCTCTCCTCCAACTCCTCAACTTAGGAAACTACTAGGAACTCACTAAGAAGTCTTCAGTCTCTGTTGTGTAACCTTGGGTAAGTCTCTTAACCTCTCTAAGCCTCATCTGTGAAATGAGAATCATATCTGAACTTATTCATAAGAGTGTTGTGATGGTTCCATGATGAAGCATGCAGAACACTCAGCCACTGTGCTTGCTTGGCACATAGAAGGTTTTAATTAAATAATAAACCTGCTATTTCTTTTCTTTTTTTTTTTTTTTTGGAGACAGGTCTCACTCTGTCACCCAGGCTGGAAAACAGTGGCACAATCATAGCTCACTGCAGCCTCAAACTCCTAGGTTCAAGCAATCCTCTCAACTCAGCCAGGACTACAGGTACACACCACCATGGCCAGTTAATTTTTTTTTTTTTTTTGAGACAGAGTCTCACTTTGTTGTCCAGGCTATAGTGAGTGCCGTGGCATCAGCCTAGCTCATAGCAACCTCAAACTCCTGGGCTCAAGCAATCCTACTGCCTCAGCCTCTCAAATAGCTGGGACTACAGGCATGCACCACCATGCCTGGCTAATTTTTTCTATATATATAAGTTGGCCAATTAATTTCTTTCTGTTCATAGTAGAGACAGGGTTTCGTTCTTGCTCAGGCTGGTTTCGAACTCCTGACCTTGAACAATCTGCCCGCCTCGGCCTCCCAGAGTGATAGGATTACAGGCGTGAGCCACCGTGCCCAGCCCTGGTCAGTTAATTTTTAAATTTTTTGCTATGTTGCCCAGGCTGTTCTCAAAGTCCTGACCTCAAGCAATCCTCCTGCGTCAGCCTCCAAAGTGCTGGGATTACAGGTGTGAGCCACTGTGCCTGGCCAATTCTGATATTCTAATTAGAATTCTTAAGGGCCACATTTCTAGAAATAGAGGCAATTCTTCTTTTTGTTTATAAAGAAGCCTTTTTCGCTGTCAATTAGCCTTACTTATTTGAATACTACAGATACAGTTCATGTATCACACCCTAGAGGGAATATAGGGAGTATAGCAGCGTGGTTGAGGGTGTGGACTCTGGCACCAGACTGCCTGGGTTTGAATCCTGGCTCTACCATTTACTAGGCTTTGTGATCTTGAGTAAGTTATTTAACCTCTCTGGGCCTTGCTTTTCCCATCTGTAAGATGGAGATAATAATAGTACCTACCTCATAATGTTCTTAGAATAATATGTGGCAAATATGGTAATTACCATGTATAAAGTAAATAATAATTTAAAAAATTAACCAGTTTTCTTACTGAGAAGACTAGAGTGCAACAAACCATGACCTAAAGTCATGACACTTAGAGAAAACTTCTCCAATAAACATTGTCAAAGTCTTTGTACCCCACACTGTTCCCTAGAGTTTGTTAGATTTCTTTTAATAACCATCTGCTATACTTTTCCATTTGAGGCTTCTTGATTAGTCACTTCCTGTACTTTCACCCTGATGTTTATCAAGAGTTGTGTACTGATCCATTTAATGGGCAAGCCCCATTTTATAAAGCATTTCTTGGTGAGGTTTTGAGCTCTAAAGTGTGCCAAACAGCCCCATATTATAGAGAGTAAGAGAAGAATTGGGTTATGCACTCGGGAGGGTCTGCTAACGCTCACTGAAAGAACGCCTCAAATGCGCTCACAGTCCACAAGATTAGTCATCCACTAGGTGCAGCAAATGGTAGTAGATGTAGAAGGGGAAGAAGACCTGACAAAATAGAGCTTCTGTTCCCTCTCCCCAAGACCTCACTAATGAAATGAGAAATGAATGACAAACATGATGATGTCAAATCTGCTTATATAAATAAATTTATGAACAGGTGCAAATTCAGATAGCACAAGTCCACCAGTGCTGAAAAAACACAGGGACACTAGAACTGGGAAGGGTTCAGAAAGGAGGATGTTCTAAAGGAGAAGGCCATAGTTAAGAAGGTCTGGGATAATAACCATCTGTGGAAAAGGTGGTTTGGTAGGGAAGGCAGACAGGGCCAGGCTTTAAACTGGGTACAGGCTGGGCACGGTGGCTCATGACTGTAATCCTAGCACTCTGGGAGGCTGAGGCGGGAGGATCGCTCAAAGTCAGGAGTTCAAAACCAGCCTGAGAAAGAGCAAGACCCTGTCTCTACTAAAAATAGAAAGAAATTAATTGGCCAACTAAAAATATATAGAAAAAATTAGCCGGGCGTGGTGGCGCATGCCTGTAGTCCCAGCTACTCAGGAGGCTCAGGCAGAAGGACTGCTTGAGCCCAGGAGTTTGAGGTTGCTGTGAGGTAGGCTGATGCCACAGCACTCTAGCCTGGGGAACAGAGTGAGACTCTGTCTCAAAAAAAATAAAAATAAAACTGGGTACAGTTATCATATCACCCTGATTAGGTGCCTAGACAGTCAGGCAGCTGCTGGGCACTACAGAAGGCAAAAGGTGCCAACACAACCCTGTCATGCCCTATAGTTAAAGGAGGCCTTCCTAGAAAGCTCACTGAGTGGCCTGTGTTGGGACAAGAGGCACATGAGCTGACCTGAGTCATCAGGAACCAGGAAAGGCTTTATGACTCTGGCCTAGAAACAGATCTACCAGCCCTGAGAATGGAGTTACAGCATCAACCATATTTTACAGACCCACTCACTCAGCTCTTAAGCTCCTCAGTCTCCCGTGCGGGCTCAGTGCCAATTCCTCCAAAACTCCCTCAGCTTCCCATCCTCTCCTAGTCCTGCTCCCAGAACACAAACATTACCAACAATTGAATATGACTAGGCTATCTGCTTAGCCCAAAGCAAGCATCAGATAGAGAGCAGCAATGTGAACCAATTCTTGGAGAAAATACTCCAATATAGGATGGGGATGGACGAATTCACTCTTTTTTTTTTTTTTTTTTTTGAGACAGAGTCTCGCTTTGTTGTCCAGGCTAGAGTGAGTGCCATGGCGTCAGCCTAGCTCACAGCAACCTCAAACTCCTGGGCTCAAGCGGTCCTGCTGCCTCAGCCTCCCAAGTAGCTGGGACTACAGGCATGTGCCACCATGCCCGGCTAATTTTTTTTTTTATATATATATTAGTTGGCCAATTAATTTCTTTCTATTTATAGTAGAGACGGGGTCTCGCTCTTGCTCAGGCTGGTTTTGAACTCCTGACCTTGAGCAATCCGCCCGCCTCAGCCTCCCAGAGAGCTAGGATTACAGGCGTGAGCCACCGAGCCCAGCTCGAATTCACTCTTATCTTACAACTGCCCCATCTGGGCTTGTTTGCCACGTTTCAACTCTGGTTCTCCAGTTCATCAGAAAAAGCGATTGAAATAGAGTAGGGGAAATCAGCCCGCAGGATCCTTAAAGAGCACATCTGAGAAAGATTGTTCATTTTGTGATGACTAAAAGGCTTGGAGCAGTATTTTCAAACTTTTTTTTTCCTAGCTTTAAAATCGTATTTTCAAGCAAGATGTTATGGAGAAGCACAGTATATTGGTTACAATGTATATCTTTATCTCAAAAAAAAAAAAAAAAGAAGCACAGTATATAATGCAGCTTTAAATGGAGCTTCTAGTTTGGCTTAAGTAAGGATGAAGGACATTCCTATACCTCCTTGTTTCTTCTCCAAGGTGACACTTCCAAAACCCCTTTGGTTCCTTGGAACACAGTTTGAAAACCACTGGCCTAATGCAACCCAGGACAAGGGTCTATTTGGAGCAGTTGAAAGAGGCCTATGAGCATTCCAATTTTCTGTCTTCAAAAAACAAGTGGAGGCTGGGCACAGTGGCTCATGCCTGTAATCCTAGCACTCTGGGAGGCCAAGGCGGGAGGATAGCTCAAGGTCAAGAGTTCAAAACCACCCTGAACAAGAGCGATACCTCGTCTCTACTATAAATAGAAAGAAATTAATTGACCAACTAAAAATATATAGAAAAACTTAGCCGGGCATGGTGGCACATGCCTATAGTCCCAGCTACTCGGGAGGCTGAGGCAAGAGGATCGCTTGAGCCCAGGAATTTGAAGTTGCTGTGAGCTAGGCTGATACCATAGCACTCTAGCCCGGGCAACAGAGTAAGACTCTGTCATTCATTCATTCATTCATAAATACATACATACATACATACAAGTGGAGCCTTCTTTACAGCCATTGTGCCTGTGGCTCTGTGGTCACTGTGGGCCCATGACCAAAAGCACCTGACCATCCAACCCCAATCCCTTTGTGATTTCAGTACCTACCTGCTTTGGCAAAATCTTCCCGGTTGTAACTTAAATCCTTGAGGAAAGTGATACTTTCAGTCCCAGGGTTGTACCTCCGAGATGTCTCCAGAAGCATCACCTGCACACAAGTAGCAAACCTCAAATGTGGTCTAAGAGGGCTGGTGCTGCCGCATGGCCCCTTTGGGGGAAGGTTGATTCCCCTTGTCCAGTACTTCCCAGTGGATTTGGCTCCCAGCTGGATGTTTGGAGGCCCCTCCCACAGATAATCCCACTGTGGTCCTCCCTTCATCCCTTGCCCTTTTCCAGCCACCTCGATCGCCGAGGTCTTCAGCAGAGCGATCTGGTCCTCCCGGCTGAGCTGGAGAAAGCCGGGCAGCTGTTTGGCAAAGTCAACAATCTCCTGCACAGAGACGATGGCCAGCTCCGTGAAGTGGGCAAAGCGCTGCTGACGGGCCTCCCGGCTCTGGGGATCTGGTGCCATGGGCCAAGGCTACCCATGAGGACAAGGAGGGAAAAGGCAAACTGCTTTGAGTCGGACGTCAAAAAGCTCACTGGTGCTCTGGGGGCAACCACCTCTCCCCAGACTTGTCAAGTACCGTGACTCGAAGCCGGTCAGAAAAGGAGCGCCTGTTACACTGTTGCTGGGCGGCGACGAGCTTCTCGATCATGCCCAGTTGCTCCGGACTGAGCTGGGGCAGGACTTGGGGAGGTGAGGAAGCCCTCGGGGGCAGGGATGTGGCCTGAGCCTGTTCCTCCTCTTGCCGCTTCAGTTTCTTCAGGCGGATCTGTTCTTCTGACAGGACACCTAAGGACAGGCCAAGACATGAGGAAGGGAGAAGAGGGGAGACAGGAAGCAAGGATAGGGCACAGGGGGTAGTCTGGGGCTCCAGAAATGCAGAGATCATTAGGTAAAGGCAAGGAAGAGTTTTTTTCTTAAAGATGGGGTCTCGCTCTGTCACTCAGGCTGGAGTGCAGTGGTGTCATCATAGCTCACTGCAGCCTCTTAGCCTCAAGGGATCCTCCTGCCTCAGCCTCCCAAAGGAGATTTTAATCCATACTCAGAGACTGAGCAGCCCCTGCAGGCTCAGGCACCTGTTCCCCTCACTCGTCTTTCCCCTCAGCCTCTCCCTCCACTCCGGCCCTGGACACTCACATTCCTCCCGCATGCCAGCCTGGCGGCATTTACGAAGACGACATTCCTGGCACTTTCGGCGCATGTAGGTGTCCATGGGGCAGTGGCCACCACTGTGGCAGATGTAGCGCGCTCCCTTGATGACACTGCGGCGGAAGAAGCCCTTGCAGCCCTCGCAGCTCAGCACGTTGTAATGGAAGCCAGAGGCCTTGTCCCCACACACACTGCACAGCTCGTTCCCCAGCATTTTGGGGGCTGGCCCCTTTTTCCGCTTTTGTGGACGGAGATCTGGAAACAGGGAAGAGCCTTAATGTTCTCCCCAACCCAGCCACTGCCCTGGGCACTTAGTGACCTGCATTCCCTTTATAATACAAAGTCCAGTCTCTCTATTACAAGCTCTCATTCACCGAATGCCATTGTGTCCTAGGTACTATATAAGCCCCTTGTGTAAATTGATCCTTATAACAACCACAATTATTATTTCCATTTCACAAATAAGGAAATTGAGACTCAGAAAGACCTAAGGTAGAGATAAAATTCACACTCAGATCACTTGGATCTAGTTAACTCCAAAGCCTTTGGACTTCACCATGATATTACAGGTAAAGAACCCCAAGGAACCCGTCCTAGGTCCAGGGAGCTCCTACCACCTCCAAATCCAGAAGCTCCTCACCTGTGAGTTCTGAAGGGAGCTCTGTCCTGGGGAGCAGGGCTGTGGGCTCTGCTGCCTCCAGCTCCATCCCCAAAGTGTCCCCAGCAGATTGAGGTATCCTGGCTTCTTCTATGAGGATGCGGTTGCTGCTTCCTGGGCCCTTGCTGCTTGCATCTGGCTCCCACAGCTCCACTGCAGAATCTGAGCCCCAAAAGAGAGGCACAAAAGGGGTCTCAGGCCCCATCCCAGCTCCACTTCCTTAGCATCCTAGCTGGGAAACTGCAAACTTAGCCCCACCCTTAGAGGGCAGCAAAGCCCCAGCTCAGGCTTTGAGACCCCATGGTTCATGTGGGCTCTAGGACTAGTCCCTTGTAGTCCCTGTACCTCAAGACCTTAAAGAAGATGTTAACCTTTGTTGCCCTGGGGGACTGGCATGCACCTCCAATAAGACAGAACTCTTCAAAGCCGGAGCTGGGTAAGCACTAGGCATGCCAACTCTCTCCGGTAGCAAGCCCAGATTGGAAAGGATGGGTAGGTGCCTGCATGGACCAGACACCAGAACAAGGGCAGAGGATATCTGGGCGGGAGGCAAGCAATACTAAGAACAAGCTCTGGACTGTTCTCTGGAGGACAGCAGAATGCAGGTAATGAAGGAGGCTGATTCCTAAGGGAGAAGAGGAGCCTGAGGTCTGGGCTCAAGGGAGAGGGCTGGAATGAAGACGCTTACCAGGAGAAACATCAGGTACTCGGGCCTCCAGCCACAAGGACATCTCTTCCTGGAGCCCTGGACATTACCAAGGCACTGTCCTGCAGGAATGACCCAGGTTACACTCTTCGAGAACTGGGCTCCTTTCTGGCCTCAGCTCCCTTCTTCTGATCATGCCTTTTTACTAACAATATCAGCCAACTTATTTGCAATATATATCATTAATTTGTACTAAGGCTTCATATGCCTTCAGCATCTCACTATGTTGCCCAGGCTGGAGCTGGAGTACATTGGCTATACACAGGCTCGATCATTGCATACTACAGCCTTGAACTCCGGAGCTCAAGCAGTCCTCCTCTATGCCTGGCTCGGGACTATTTTTAAGCCCATTTTACAGATAAGCAAACTGAGGTTCAAAGAGATTAAGTAAATTGCCTATGGCCACACAGTTAGGCAGGGGTAGAGCCAAGACTCCAAGCCTGGTCTCTTTGACTCCAAAGTCTGAGCTCCCAGCCACCATGCCTGCCTTTCTCCCCAGAGCCACTCTCCAGGCCATCAGGAAATGTTTGGGCACATCTGCCCTGCTTCTGTCAGAGCCCCTTCCCCCTTGCTCCAGCAATGACGGCCAAATTGGGCAGGATTAGGAGATGGAATCCAGGCTCATTCCACCTAGTGAAACAAGCTGCTTATTAAAGAAGCTCACTCCTGCCACTTTCCGAGGTCCCAGCACAAACCTCTTGCCCCCAAGAGTCTCCCCACTTCACATACAGAACCTCTTCTCTCAGAACCCCTCAAGAGTTATTCTGGGATCTAAATAGAATCCTGTCCATGCCCCGAGCTTCCATTGCCATCACCCCTAACTTCTCCCGGGCGGCCCCTTTCTAAGATCCTCAGATCGTCTCCCCACTCCAACCTAGACATGCACACAGAGCCCCAGGCTGCTGCTGAGGAGCAGACCCACCGAATCCCCAGGCCACCAGACTTCCTGGCTGGGCAGTCTCTGGAGCCCCCTTGCTGGGAGAAGAGAATGGTGCAGTCCCCAGTCCAGAGGCCTGAGTGCCGCCAGCCGGTGAGCCGGAGCTGAGCACAAGAGGGACGTGGAGCCCCAGGGAAGTAGCACTGTGGGGAGAGGCTGAGGGGAGGGACTGCCAAGGGGTCGGGCCACCCCTCCTTCCTGCCTGGCTGACTGGAGCCGGCTGGAGCTCTTGCCTCCTCAGCCCCCGCCCTGCCCACGGGGCAGCTTCCCCACCAGGCTGACTCCTCCCCAGCCGGCCACCCCTCAGCCCAGCGCCACCCCCGCCCCCTACCCCCAACTAAGACAGTTGCATTTCCCTGCAGACCGGCACAGTTCCAGGTCTCTCCCCTTCCTCTCCTCACTCCAGGGCTCTTAGCTGCTCGTCCAGAAGGACTGCCTCCCAGGCACCCCCACCCCAATCCCAGCAGCCTCCAGAGTCCGAGTTCCCTCCCCTCCACAGACACCTCGCAGAGCAAAGGTCCCAGCACGGCCCAGAATTGCGACACTGACACCCGGCCCCAGCCTGCTTTCCCAGCCTCCCTCCTCCTCCCCTGCCTCTGGGAAGGGGCCAAGAAGCATTCTCCACTCGCCCCAGGCCTCGGCCAAGCTGGTGGAACTCCAGGGGTGGAGACAGGTGCTGGGCCTTCCAGGGAGTCTCCGTACGTGGGTGCCCTGCGGGGTGAAGGAGAGGTGACAGGAGAGGAGGCCAGGAGAGATATGCTGGTAGGAAGTCAGCCATGAGCAATGGCAGGCCTGGAATAGGTGGGAGTGACAGATGGCAGGCAACCCAGGTGCCAGCCCAGGATGGACCTGAGAAGTACGCAGGTTGCCTCCTCTGGGCAACAGTCCAATCGGAAGTGATGGCAGGCTCTATTCAGCATTTACTGGAACTATACCATAGTCTTCCTGCCCTGCCGTCTAGGACCTCCATCCCTGAAGGTAGACCCCACATTTTATTGATTTTATGTCCCCGCTAAGCCCTGGAACAGGGCCTGGCATAGAGGCAACAGAGTAGGTCCGGTGTCCTTGTTTGTTGAATGAGTAAGTAAACAAGAAAAATGGCCCTCTTCCATCCCATACTTGTTAGCTTTAGTCGATTTCAACTCAGCATGTTGATTTAGTGTTTGGGCTCTGGGCTCAGATTTTTAGGTTCAAATCCTTTTTTGTTGTTGTTTTCTTTCTTTTTTTTTTTCAAACAAAGGGTAATAAAATGGGTTCAAATCCTGACTATGCCTCTTTTTGCCTGTGTAATCTTGATTAGCAAGTTATATAATGTCTCTGAACCTTTGTTTCCTTATCTTTAAAACAGGGATAATAATAGTTTTGTCATATAAGGTTGTGAGAATGAAACAATAGATCATAGCACAATGTGTGGACCATAGTAACTGTCCAAGAAATGGCAGCAGTTGTCATTACCCTCCCACTCCTTTCGGCTGTGGGTCTTCCCATCACCTCAAATCCATACATTGTGAACTTTGTGCTTGTTTCCACAAATAGTACAAACCCTTCACTATCTTTTCTGGTCCTCAGAGCAGCCCCAGGAGAAAGGGAGGGTCAGTAACCTGAGCTCCATTTGACAGAGAACACTGAAGCTCATGTGAGGGCCTTTTCCAAGACCACACAGTTAGTGGCCAACCTGGGATCAGAATCCAGATGTCTTTACTCCAGTCCGCATGCTCTTTTTGCGCTGTGTCAGAGTCCAGGGCAATCTTTCTTGTTGCCTCTCAGGTCTGACGGGCCAGTGGAATGCTGAGATGGAAGAAGCTAGGACTGGTGGGCTGCAGGGGAGAGGCTGGGAGCATCTGCAGATGCTTCAGTCCAGATATGGGAGGTGAGGAGCTGAGGTTACTGCTGGTCATTCACCCCTTGCCCCATTCCCAGTTTCCCGCTCATGGGCTCTTCCTGTTTTGCTGTGAACTCCAGTTCCCATGGGCCCTGCATTAAAGCATAGAAGGACAGGGGCCCAGGGCAGGCAGCCAGAGGGACCAAAACAGAGATGAACAGGGCACCAGGGAGAGGAGAAAAGAGGAAACAGGGAAAGAGTGGACATGGGGTGTGGGGGTGGGACAGAAGGAACAGGATGAGAAAGGACAGGGAAAGGTGAAGCAGAAAGGAGCTTGCTGAAAGATGGGAGGAAGCATGGGGTGGGGAGGGGAACAGGCGGGGGGGCTGGGGAGCAGATTTGAGAAGACAGCAGGCTGGGTGGTGTTGCAAAATCTGCCCATATATTCATTTTCACATTTCAGAAAAGCCCCTGTGACACTCCCATCGCAAACTTCTGCCTCTGGCTTTTGCTCTTGTTCCCCCTCATCACAAGGCCAACCCCTCACTTGGCCTCCGCCCTGGTCTGGGCATCTCTGAGTCACGAGCACACGGCTCTCCACTCCTCTCAAGTGGGTTCCTGCTCTGATTTTCACGAGGCCCCAGCTGGTCTGGGAAAGTGGAAACCAGGGACTCCAGCTGCTGTGGACTGGAACTGTTCTGTCCCAGCACCCACAGCACCAATCAAGCTTCCTCCTCCAGCCCCCACCCTGTCCCTGGAAGCTCAGCACAGCAGCATAGTCAGAGATGTCCCTGAGATTCCTGGTTTCAAGGTACTCAGGATATAACACTGCTCTGAAGCCTGGTGACCCATCTTCTGGGAGCCAGGAAAACCCTCCCTCATCTATTTCCAGTCCTCACGTCCCTCTCTTTACACCCTAGTCTCCCCACAGGTGGCCTCCCAGGACCCAAGACCACACATAAGCCCCATGTGGAGCCCTCGGACCCAGGCCAGAGCCAACTGCTGAACAAGCAGGTCAAGGCAGCAATTTCCCCAAGCCAGGGAATCAGCCTCAGCCTGTCTCATGCAGAGGCGGCAGCATTACCAGTACTTCACTACCAGAGCTACCCCATCAGGTTACGGGGGGCTCAGGAGCCCCCTGATCCCCAACCCACAAAGAGGAGAAGGGAGAGGAAAATGGGAGAAGACCAAAACCTGTTTGACAGTATTTCCACAGAATTTGTTGAGACTTCTGCCCTAGGCCAGGGCAAGCAGTGAGGTGATCAGCCGCTGGAATCACATGTCCCACTTCCTGGCCCCACCCCCAGGGCACAGTCCCACCAGCCCTCAGGAGGTGTTAGGTCCAAAGGCCCCTTAGTCCTGTGGGCCTCTCCTGTGTTTCCTTGGCTTCTACAGGAAGCAGTATCCCTGGGAACAAATACCCTCAGGGATCTACCAAGTCACATTTCTGACCCCCAGAACTTGCAGAGGCTACTTCTTCCAGCAAGGGGAACCCTGAAGCAGACTAGGACCAGCCCACCGTCACAGGTATCATTGGATAATTCCCCTGAAGGCACTCATTCCCATGAAGCAGGCTGTGAGGCAGGATCTGCAGGGACAGACTGGGGCAACTGCTTTTGCTCCCTCCTTCACCATTCTGGAAAGGTAGAAAGTGTGAGGATCATTTTGCAGACCATTTCATACCTCTCAAGTGACTTCTACCCAACCTCTCAATCGAAGAATCCTAGGTAAAAATCCAGGAGTTCCTGCTTCACCAGACCTATGAATTCAGACATGATATAAAAGGCAGAAAGGAGAGAAGAAAAGTAACATTTATTTAGGTCCTAATATATAACATTTACCTTTAACTGTATTATTTCATTTATCCTCACAATAAACCCTAGGAGATGGTTACTAGCAAAGAGTAAATATCAAATTTGAATACAAGTATAGCTGATTCAAAAACTCAAGCTCAAACTAAAAAAAAAAAGGAAAAAGAAAATCACATACAATGGACAAAAACCACCTTACTCCATTACACAAAACTGCCTCCTCAGATGGGAAAAATGGTTAATTCACCTGGATTTAGGTTTGCTCTGCCAACACAGGATAGAGTGGTGGTTCCCAAACCTGGCTTCACCTTCAGAGATTCTGATTTATTTGGTCCAGGGTAGGAGCATGTACCCATCTATTTATCCATCTATACGTCTATTTTTTGTATCAGCAATTAGGAACTAAGGTGTGAGAATCACAGAATCTTCTGGTAGAAAATATGCATAAGCTGGGGTTGGTGGGTGTCAAGAAACTAGAGCTGAGCTCCAGGCCCTCCAGGCCCTACCATCTACTTGTGGTGCAATTTCCTCCCTTTCTGGATTTGCTTCTTTCTATAAAAACTGAAATAATAGGCCAGGCATGGTGGCTCATGCCTGTAATCCTAGCCCTTTGGGAGGTCAAGGTAGGAGGATACCTTGAGGCGTTCCAGACCAGTCTGGGCAATAATGAGACCCTGTCTCTACAAAATAAAAAACTAGCTGGGCATGGTGGCACATGCCTGTAGTCTCAGCTACTTGGGAGGCTGAGGCAAGAGGATCACTTGAGCCCAGGAGTTTGAGGTTGTAGTGAACTATGATGACACCCCTGCACTTTGGCCCAGGGAACAAAGCAAGACCCCGTTTCAAAAAAATAAAAAATTTAAATAATATCTGCTTCATCAATCCCTCCTATATGGGATACTTGCAGGCACAAAGGATATAGACATACTTGAACAAGTGAGAAGAAAAGCAAAAGATGAATTTGAGGGTGTGAACTAAAATCCTCAACCCCTACCAGCTGACTGAATGGACCCCCTCGTGGCCAGAGGAATATTCAAGGGCAAAGTTGCCTGCCAGGAGGAGGGAGGTCAGACAGGCCTTATCATCCCCCCCCTCCCTTCTTGGAGACTTCCTTTGTAACCCATTAACAGGCCTGGGGGTATGCAAGACAAACCTGCAGGCCTTCTATTTGCAATAAATGGTGGCTTACCTCTGGTAAACAGTTTATGTTAAAACATTCCACCTCTTTAGACAAAGCTTCATGTCTTTAGCCAATTACTATCTAAAGAATCTTTAACCTTAAACCCACCTATAACCTGTAAGCCCCCCGCTTCAAGATGGCCCTCCTTTTTGGGCCAAACCAATGTATACCTCCCACACATTGATTGATGGCTTTACCCATAACCCTTGTCTCTAAAATGTATAAAAACCAAACTGTAACCCAGCCACAGCGAGTCCACTTGCCCAAGGCCTCTTGGCAGTGGCTCCGGGTCATGGTCCTCAAATTTGGCTCAGAATAAATCTCTTTAAAATTATTTTGCAGACTTGGCTTTTTTTTCCGTCGACAATTTTGGCGTAGCCAGCAGGATCTCAGAGAAGACTCAGGGCCGCCTAAGGAGCAGCGCAGACTCGGCGCCAGGTACCAGCATGGCCCTTTTAGGCCTCCAACTCCGAGCTTCTCCTTTGGCGGGAACTGGTTAAGTCCTCCTGAGATCCGGACCTCCCGTTTTTGGTTGATGGTCTTGGTTTATTCTGAGCTGGTTCTTTTCCTAGGAATTGTTGTTTGGGATCCTAATTTAGGTTTAGAGGTGCATTCTAAAGGGCTTTCTCCGTTGCCTTTTTTCCTCTCAAAACTAGTTTCAATTGGCTTGTCTATGAAAAACAAATTCTTTAAGAGTGAGGAAGGGCAAGGAAAATGACTCCTGTTGGGGCACCCCAGTTGGTTTGTGGCGTCTCTACTTGCAAGTATTTTTGTAAATGAAAAGATTCAAAGGCATGCCAGGTTTTCTAGGGCTCCAGCTGGTTATAGCTAATTCTTGTGCACAAGGTTTTAAGAAAGGGCAAAATTACATCAAGAAAAATTCAGAGCTGAAATGGTCGACCCCCCACTATTAAAATGTCTCAAGCTATCTCTCTTCCTTTCTGGCTACTCTAAAATCTGCTAACTTTTTCTAGTGATGTTAAGATAACTCATTGTTTGTGGTATTTACAATTGAAAGGCTACCTGGAGACCTTGCTGCCAGTTCTGGCTAAAATGCTAACATAGAAAACTCATTTTGCACTGAAGAAAAAAAATCAAACTGCCGTAGAAACTGCTTTACCCAAAACTTTGATCCACAGGTCTAATTAAGTTACCTATCAGGTCAACTAAAATTTGCCAGGTGAACAAGTTCCAGTCTCATCAGAAGAAATTTAGATCCAGCTTTCTTTTACAGACTGGTGAGTTTGTGTTACCATTTCATGGGTAACATTCTAGGGTAAAATTTATCAGAACTTTGTGTGTATGTATGTGTCTGAGAGAGTGTATATGTTTGGGTATGTTTTATGTCTGTCCATGTATCACATGTTTGTGCTTATAGGTTTCGGATTGTTTTAAAATTAAGGAAGCGC